ACATATAAATCAAATAGGTTACTGAATTTAGGGATAATTAGGGTAACACTGAAAATTGAAGAAAAAAAATTTTTTTTTAACATCAAAATGAAACAAATCTAAGCCCCTAAATTTCAAACTTACTGTAAGAAATAACGTTTCATTTTGTTGTGTTAAACAAACTTTGAAAAATAATAATAAATATAAAAAATTTTCCAGAAACGCAGTAGCATTCCACTTTCACGTTGAAAATATTTTTAACATACAATGAGAAGTACAGCCATCTGTTGAAGAAATTTTCAACTACATAGCTTTCCGTAACACAAAAATGATGTAATATTAATTCTCTTGACTGAATATTAAATCTTAAATTAAAGAATATAATGGTTATACAATGATGGCCTTTCATTCTTTCAAAAATTGTTTTTATCCGCTAACAAGAGTAAAAAAAACCACACCTTAAAATTCAACGACTAAAATAATATAATTTGTAAAAATCAACGTATTTAATCCCTGATGTTGATTTCCGCAAGCATATGGTGTGTAGATTCTAATAATTCAGAGGAACTTAAAACTATTAAATGTAAATACATAGAAAAACTTTATTGCATCTTTATTTATTAATTTATTTTTATGTTTTACTTTCATCAAACTGATGTCTATAGCTTTTTCTTCATCATTAGGTTGGAGTTTTAAATTTAAAATTTTTTTTAGGATTGCAGTTAGATAGTTTTCAGGATAGCAGCACCCAAATAAAAATCCTCCCTCTATTTCTTTTGTACAAACTTATTTAAAAAGAAAAACTCTATTTCGACTATAATATTCAATCTACAATAAAAAAATAAAATAAAAATAATAATTCTAAGATTAGAAAATCTTTTGTAATATTTCTAACTGCATTCATTAGCCCCAACTTAAATAACCCAAAAACTGCTGATTATTTTAATGTACTGTAATTAGAAAAGATCCAAAACAAAACATTATAGAGGAATCAGAAATCTATTTTAACAAACTTGAGTATCATAACAATTCTATAACAAACCGTTTAAATGCTAACAGTATCTGAAATTATCTTCTAAATTTATTTTAAACTACTTTAACAACTATTGTAATGGTATTAGCTATAACTATGTAAATATTTAATTTGATTATTTTTGCATACATAACTAGAAAACATCGGAGCCAAGTAGGTTCATTTTACATTATTTATCATAACATCATTAAATTTTTTACCACATATTATATTTCTTTTTATATATATATATAAAAAAAATAAGCCAGTTTGAAAAAAAGAAGGGGAAAAAAATCTTAGTAACATTCATTTAGTAGTATGAAATATTAATCGAAATTTTGTTTATAGGGGATAAACGATTTATGTAACATTTATAATATTTCCTTTTTTATTTCTAAAATTTTAAGAAAATAAATGCACATTTAATCACTTACGACGAACTATTAATATACAAACTATTTAGTCTTCTTAAAAAGTTTATTTAAAGGCTAAAAAAAATTTTATGATTCATTAATTTAGAAGGGAAAAAATAGGGAAAATAGTTTGGAAAAAAAAAGAGGAAGAGAGAAGAACACATTTTTAAAATTGTTAAATTACTACGGTCAGTTTTTTTTTCCTTAACATGAAGTACTATAATGATCTGATATTATCGAAAATTGAAAGAGACAAATAAAACTTGATTCTAAATAGCATTTTAAGTAAACGCATCGTGCTGCCATCTATACTGTGAATTTTCAAGTTTAAAAATAAAGATGGTAGATTTAAAAGTTTCGTTTTTAAAACATTTGTTATTTTTTACTCATAAGTAAACTGGCAGAGAATTTTTCATTTTGATCCAGATTCAACTGTAAAAATTATCAGTATTAATTCAAAGTGCATGTTATAACGTTCGTTTTCAAGAACATTATAAGAAAAGAAAGCCCTCACATAGATATATTCCTGTTGTTCAAAAATACTGCCATACAGCGTTTGTCTTAGCCCAAACTAAAATACTATTTTTATTTAAGAAGCTATTTACACGAAAGCAAATTTCCATATTTTGAGCATGGAATTTTTTCATTTTTCAAATTTTTAAGTCAGGGTTTAAAAAATTTAGAAAAAAAAAAACCTTGACAAAATTATGGGTTCCAGACACCGAAGGTTTCCAATTTTGTTGGCTATGAATTCCCAGAAGTTCCAGCTTCATTTAGAGGACCTTGAAAGACGAAGGTATCGGCATCCATTGAAAGGAGATACCCAATTGTCGACTAAGCATACTAAAACTTTAAATTTGAAATCTGCTACTTTTTTTTATGAGTGGAAATTAATTTCTTTAATAGGTGTATATTTGAATAATGCAAAATAGTCTATGAAGAATAAAATATCACTTTCAAACAAATTGAAATATTGAAAATATTTTGTTTGATGCACTTTTTTTACCATGGAATAATATCCACTAACATTTATATAAAAAACGAATTCAAAATATAGATTTATATTTTTGTAAATATTTATTTTATTTTCAGTGCAAAGTTATTGCTTTGTTTTTTTCTTTTTTTTTTTTAAATTTAACTATACTTTTGTTAAGGATCATGTATGTTATCGAGAAGTTTGCGTCGGACATCTCCAATGTTGTGCATACCACTGCTCCAACATTATAAATTAAGTTCATTAGATGCTCTGAATATGTACTAGATCTGTACTAGATGTACTTAAGTTTACTAGAAGCTCTGAATAATATGTTGAAAGACCACTACTTATTTAGAAAATATCTAACATGAAGAATGGAGTTTTTTCCGTGGTTAATTAAATAAAATTCGAACTTAGGTTTTATCACAGTTAGGTATGAATTCACAGGTAAGGATTCTAGTCTAGTTCCAAATTCATTTTTAATTTATGCAAAAGTTAAGAGAGAGAGAAACTTTATAAACGTTAAGAATGGTTAACAGAGAATCATATTTAGCCTCTTCCAGGGTGCACAGCTAGATTTTTCAACAAAAAATAAGCACCTTTTAAGTACTTTTGAAGCACTCAAAAAACATTTTTAATCATTTTCCAAAAAAACAAAAAAAAAATCATAATTAGGATCTATGCAGAAATAAAAAAAAATTTCTATCATTTAAAGGTCTTAATTTATAAATATAAAATTTACTTAATCATGATAAAATAAATAGTTTCAGATAAATATTGCAGAAAAATTTGCATTTTTTTGTAATTTCGAAAAACAATTGACAAGACAAAGAAAAAAAAATATCTTTAATAAGATAGAAAATTAAGCACTTTTCACAACCCCGAATAAAAAAAGCAACATTAACATAAAAAACAAAAATCAAAAATAAGCACCTTTAAGCACTTTTTAAAAACTCTACGCACCTTGCCTTTATTACCTCAAACCATATGTGGGGGGGGGGCATCGCTTCTTAGCTTCTGAAAACACGCCGTAAGAAAATTTATAGTTTTACCCTCACTGAAACATTCATGAACCTTTAAGCTTTCTGGAATGCAGAACATGTAAGTTATTTGGGTAGAATTGCACATAAGGGAAGTGATTTTCGAAAAATGACGCAAAATCGCTCGAAAACCTAAGTAATTTTAAATATTATATAATTTAGTTACTCTGTTCGTTCTTTTGACTTAGTAGCTTTGTGGTTTGTATGAAGCTTTTAAATTTATATTTACTTAATATTTAAATGTAATAGAGTCAAGAACATGCAAGTCCGTGTATGTGTACCTTCATATGTATGGCGAAATTTATGACAGGGTAGAAGTCAAGTAAAACCGCATTGTATTACCAGCATTTAATTGTATATCCATTTAGTAATATTGTATGTCTATTTTAATTAATTGTTTTATGCTGTACATACATACATTTAATATTTTGTGTTCTTTTCTCATAATTTTGAAAATTTTACAACCAAGGATTAGATAATTCTTTTATAATTAATGTTAGATTCTTATCAATAATTACTTGTTTTGTGTGATTTGCATAATTAAAATAGTTTTGAAACTGCGATTAAATGCAGCTTTGAATTGCACTTTGATAAAATTTCAAATTTTAAAAAAAAAAATTATAATAATAATTCTATATAATTATTTGATTTATTAATTATTGTATTTTAATTGAACATAATATAACATGCATGCTTGTTCCTACTTTAGGTGCAATTCAACTTGTGAAATATTTAGAACTATTTTAAAACCGGAGGTCCGCGTGTGTATACCTAAAATTATTAGCCCCTGGCAGTATAATTCATGTTTTGTTTATCTTATTACGACTTAGAAATTCGTAAAATAGAAATTCGTAATTATAAAATATTTTTTTGAAATATTTCTTTATAATTAAATCGTGAAGAGGTTATTTTCGAATTTGGTTATTTTATTTTGAATTGGAAAGTTTTATGCGAAAAACAGATGTAATTTTTTATAAATTAATATTCTTTTCATAATGTATTCAATCTATTGTTTTTTTTTTTTTTTTTTTTTTTTTTTTTTTTTTTTTTTTTTTTTTTTTTTNTGTTTTTTTTTTCTCCAAATTTTGCTGTTTTTTTATCGGCATTTTACTTTTAAAAAAAATATAAAAATAACGAAAATATTAAATAAATTATGGATAATTAGTGGGATATAAATATAATAACAGGTTCCAGAAATCATTACTGATTTAAAAAGAAAGTTTCAAACAGCGGAACCCTTTACTCTTTCGCGAAAACCTAGAGTTCCAAGGAACACCTTTTGAAAACCGCTGCAAGACCTGAATCGGTCAACTCTAAAACAGTTTCAAAAATGTAGTCTGTTTTTTTAATCATCTCGTTGACAGCGCTTTATTTATGTTTAAGTTGCCATTGCTTTGATGACTATTACTATACCTAGGCTGATTAGAAAACAAATTGAAAAAATACAAAATAATCAACAATAAAAATCCAGAAAAAGCAAATCAAAATGTCTGTATTCGGGTTATAATAGAACTGGCAGCAAATAAAATAAAAATTCTGAAAATAATTAAGGGGAGGATACGAAAGAATCGAATACATACCCTGTCCGCAACACCTCCAGGCAATATGGTTTTAACCACCACTCCGGTACTGCGGCCACCGATAATACCAAACCCAAGTCCAGAACCGTCATTGAGTAGCTCTATAGATTCAACCTGAGCCCACTCAGTGTTTAACTAAAATGAGAAAAGAAAAAATAAATATTTTAATCACATCACAAAGAAAAGATTTAGGTAATAAATGAAGTTTTCAACGTAGATACACAACTGAACACCACCTGATGAAAAACAGTTGAAATCGAAAACATTTTGTTGGATATACCTAACTGAGCTTAATTTCCGATAACAAACATATTTTGAAAGCTTATTTACATTTTTTTTATTAATATATAAAAATAATTTCATGTGGTTAAACTTTCTTTAACGTGTTAATATCGTAAAAAGTTCACGATATATTAAAAAAAATACATACCTGTTGAGAAGATATCCAAAACATTATAACATCTTAGCTATAGTTTGTCTAAAGCAAGAATTCCCCGAGGTATTCGTCTGGACCTGTGGCGGTGACTATGTTAACGAGGTATAACCATTTAAATAAAGTAGGGGTGTAGGGTCATTGTTTAGAAAGATTTTGGCTTGGTCTGGTCAGCGAGAAAAAGGGAATATTTTTCTTTGATCTATTGTGTTAGCTCTGTCTAGAATGAAGAGAAGCTACCTCTTTGAAATGCGCTATTCTTGCTCCAATAGGAGCAGTCAGTCTCAGACTTGGTGGCAGGGGAGTTCTAACTATAGACAAACTACATACTTTTCAGTTCAGGTGTTATTGAGCGTTAAAGATAGATAATTATCATTTTAACATTAATATTAACTACGCGAACTTCGGGAGGGGGATATTGCAAATACTAAGTAATAGTTCTGCAGATAAACGTCACAGTTAAGACCTTCCTTAGCAAACTACATAGTTTTTTTAAAAAAAAAAACATTTTTTGCATGTATATACGAAAGAAGCTAAATATAATATAACGATTAGAGGCAAACAATGTACACTGATACATAAAAATATAATTTCTAATTCAGACAATATGTAATAAAGCTATTGATAATAGAGTACAGATTTAGACAAAACAAAGACAGGGCAAACAATTTCTATTTGGTAGAAGAAAGTTCTAGAATTAGAAAACTGATAAGTACCATCCTCTTTGTAAGAGGTAAAAAGCTGCACCACCTAGGTAAACAGAAGGGAGAAACTTATAAGGGAGATATTGATATCGAGACAAATGAGGTATTATTTTCTATGCATTTTTTTACGCTGTATCAAATGATACCAAGTTTAAGACAAGAGAACAAATAGTGTAGTAGTTATAATGGTTTTACGTATAAAAAGTACGATTTTATATTTATATCGTACTTATTTATGCCTCCAATATCTTTATCTAGGCAAGTATTTTTTTTAACGCTAAATCGAAAGAAGCAAAACCCAATCAATAGAAGTGGTAGTACCGGAATTGCAAAAGGTTTTTATGCCCAAAAAGTACAATGTTCGACTTTTCATTGAATCGCATAAAACCAATCAGTCCATAGAATAAATAATTCATAAACTTACTGAAATTAGTTTTGCGATAAGTTACAATCAAAATAATTATCGCAATATCCATTCGAGTATTTTAGTTCCTTTTGTTCTCATGATTTTTAAATGACAAAATTTTTTCTCGACTTAGACCTCACAGTCCTTGTTTTAATTTAACCTTGGGTAATTTTTTTTCATCGGCTTAGAAAAAAACATTTAATATCAGATCTAACTGCATCCCAAGAAATAAATTTTCGATAATGATTTATTATTTCGATAAGGATTACGACTGTTTAAACAATAAAAGCTCTTTTCAACTATAAAAGATTTTTTTTTATAGTTTAAACCAGTTAAAAGTTAAAATGTTATTTATCGCCACCGCGTGTGATCAAATTCAAGACAACAAAATAGACAGTAGGTAAAAAGTACTCTCAGGAAGTTGAAAAAATTAAGATTGCCGAAATTTGTAGAGAAACGTTTTCTATGATTATATATAAATGAATATAAATATGGAATATAACTAAATCGATAACAAAAAAATGATAAAAAGTATGAGCATGTGGATATATACAGAATAACTTTCTTTCAAAATTTATACACATTAAAACAGATTTTGAAAAATCACGTTTCTAAGTAGGGCAAATTATATTTTTGCCATTTCTAAAAAAAAGGAGAGGGAAGAAAAGTTACATTAAATGCATCAAATGAAACCATGAAATAAGAATTATATTTATTAAATAAGAAAACTGATTCTCAACCAATGTGCCGCGGCACTTTTGTGTGCCGCCAAATTCTTAAAATGTGCCGCCAAATATTAGAAATGATACAATAAAAATTATAATGCTATTTTTTATTGTGAGTAAAGTTTAAATTAAAGAAATATACTTTTTATAATTTTTCCACGCTTTAACCGTGTGAACATCTTTGTCGGCGATTGTCTTATCTCTGACAATCTTAAAATAAGTTAAAATAAGATGGAAGTGCTTAAATTGTTTGTTACACACAATTTTAAAAAAGGTTGAAATAAGTAGGAAATTTAATGACTATTAAAATTATTGATTAAGCTAATATTAAAATTATTGATTAAGGTAATATTGAGCAAGCTAAATATTAACTTTCAAACGGAAATAAAAGCTGATCATTAAAGTAAGCTATGAAATTAATAAACAAATTAACAAAGGACAATAAAGTTGTAAAATATAAAAAACAAATCAACAAAAGAAAACTTACAAAAAAATAAGCTAATAATTAATAATAAGCAAAAAAACTAGTTAAAAAGAAATCACAAAAAAATAACAGTTAAAGTAAAAAAAAAAAATAATAGAGCTAACAATCAATAACTGGCAAAAAAAAATTAACTAATAAAAAATTAGTCAAAAGAAATAATTATTCCCTTAATAAACGTGCTTTTGTAGTACAGATTATTTTATTTCACATTAAAAATTATTATCACAAACTATTTAACACAGTGCAAAATAGGTAAGTAAACAACTTTTAATCTAATTTTTTTCATTGCGTGCCGTCAAATTTCGAAATCGTTATAAGTGTGCTGCAACAACAAAAAAAAGCACTGCATTATTCATTGCATGCAAATTTATTACATGTATATTCATTATATTAGATAAAAAATATTATGTAAGAAAAATATCTATTATATATTTTGAAAGCTGGGGACAATAATAATATAAGAAATACATGTATCAAATAAAAATATAGGAAGAAAAAAAAAGTTAACTTAAATAAAACTACATATAATAAAAGAAATATATATATATTATATAAGAAAAAATGGAAGAAAAAAATAGGTGCAATACATAAAACGATGCTGCATAAATAAAATATATTTATTATGTAAAAAACAAGAATCAAAAATAAGTACAACTGCATTACAAAATACAAAATGTTTCAAAATCGTTTATACATTTTATATGGAAAAGTTAACTATTTACACTATTTAGCCCAACAACTTATTTTTAGAATCATCCATAAAGAAAAAATGTTAACCCTCATCCTTGCTTCTTTACAACAGATGTTCAGAAATCCCAAGAATTCGAGAACGAAAATAAATTTTGAAATTGTTGAGAAAATTTTCTCCTGGACACGAGAATTTTCGTCTCTCAGGCTAGCAATTTCATTCAAAAACGTTTCGATTTTTCAGAAACGCAACTATCAGTATAGCGTGAAATTCCTTTCGGTAGAAAAGTATTTTTCAGAAGAAAGAAAAAAAAATACACAGACAGGAAAATAGTGGATCGAATATTTTGCAAGATAAAAAGAATCGATGGATGAGGAAAAAAATCGAGACCGGAATTTTAACTTGTAGAGACACATTCTTAGGAAGGTAAAAAATTGCAACACGGATAGTTTACTTCATTGTCTTGAAGGTTAAAAAAAAATCACAGAAAAAGCTAATTATATGATTGAATAAAAAAATTGGCAATTACACTAGGTATTTCTTTAAGAAATAAGGAAAAAAACAATGAGACGGTTCTAGTGATTAAAAGATGCGCTAATTGGATAAAAAAAAATTGATTCATACATGTGTTCCGTCATCAATATATTTAAGAATCCTTCACCAAAGTGAAGACAAAAAAAATTTAAAATAAATCGAAGAAAAAAATAAAAACGCTACCTTAATCCGACGTATCCCTTTTGAGAAGGACGAGGTGCCCAACACAATAATTACTTGATTAAAAAACTTCTTTAACTTCAAAAATACGTTGACAGAAATTAAAGCGCTCAAAAATAGGCCCCTACCAGACATTAATTAGAAGAAACTAAGGTGATTGGAAATGAAAGTCGCCAAAAAAAAAAAAAAATAATAATAATAAATAAAGGTTAGAATTTAGTAAATCGCTGGGAATTTACCACATACATTGTCAATGCGACATTGGCTACATTGGACAAACCATTGTATTTTAAAAATCAGACTTAAGGAATACGATAGATGTGTCTGTTATCTATACGATAAATTATCAATTGCTGCATACTGTTGGAATCTTGAGCGAAAATTCAATTTCGACAATGCCAAAATTATTCCCTCCACCCTCCAATCACATCAGCTCATCTAGATGCTCTACAATCTTATTTCATTCATATGAATGTTAATTTTGTTGTTAACGACATCTGTTCCTCACCACCTCTCCATACAGAGTGGAAATGCATTTTACCCCTGATTTGCCCTTCTCGGACACATTGGTTTCACTTGTTATGTTTTTTCATCTTTATATTTGTTTCACTCTCGGCTACTCCGGATTTCTCACTTTTATTTTTTATTTTTCGTAGGTAACTGTATATTTTATAGTTCAAATCACTTTTTGTTTCCTTGTATTCAGGTCTACCAAGTCTTGAGAATGGGCGCCTGTTTTTGAGAGTTTGAAACATGTTAACTATCCTTTCCATCTGCATATTTTTGAAGCCAATAAAGTTTATTAACTGAGTTAAATTTTACCGCTTCAGCATTTTGGAATTATTTATTTAACATCAATATTTGTTTGATTGCCTTGTGAAACTTGTAGGTGTTTTTGATAATAAATTATAAAATTTTCATCATAAATTAATGTTAAGTGGTAAATATGAATAATGATACTGAATATGGATATTAACAAAT